ATAGTGACATCAGCAGAGAGCTAGGTCTTCAGGGAGAAAGCGATGCATTATGCCTTCAGTGGACGAATGAAATCGTGTCCAGGTTAGACGAATCCGAAAGAGTTAGTCTACAAATATCTGGAATTCGACCTGATTCGAAGAAATTCACCCTGGATAATGTTCGCACTGTAGACAAGCTGCTGTTGCCAGCCCAGACAATACTAATGGAAGACTGGAATACATATGGGTATCTGAAGAATTTACCAATAGACGATATTATGAATCAAAGACCAATGATACTCATCGGACAAAACAATATCAGCCTAACAGTTCCCAGACAAGTGAGAATATTTTCGGATAGTTTACCTATTGCAACCAAGTGTAAATTGGGATGGTCTTTACACGGACCTGTCTCTTGCGATGGAAACGATGCTCTCACCCTTCACATTTGCAATACCCAAGAGAACGACGAATCTATAAACAACTTGATAAAGCAATATTTTTCTACTGAATCTTTTGGGGTAGCTATACCAGTATCAACTGCTGGAAAGGACGAAAAGCTTGCCTTAGATATCATGAGAAATACTGCCAAAAGGGTTGGTAATCGCTACGAGATTGGACTACTCTGGAAGGAAGCAGACATCAAACTACCTGAAAGTAGGAGTAATGCTCTCCATAGATTACAATCTCTCGAGAAGAAACTCAAGAAAGATGAAGTACTAGCCCAAGAATACTGCAAGAAAATCGAAAGCTACGCCGAGAAGGGATATGTTAGGAAATTGACGCCAGAAGAAGCAGATATTGAGACTCCCAGGACATGGTACATACCTCATTTTGCCGTCAAGAATCCTAACAAACCTGGAAAAGTGAGGCTAGTATTTGATGCGGCTGCGAAATCCAGGGGAACAAGTTTGAATGATAACTTATTACCAGGACCAGATCTATTACAACCACTTGTTGCGGTTATATGGAAGTTTAGAGAGCGAAAATATGGTTTCTGTGGTGACATACGCGAGATGTTCCACCAGGTCCAGATCCGTGAGGCTGACAGGTGTTCTCAACGCTTTCTTTGGAGAGGGACTAACTACTCAAACCCACCTGAAGTATTTGAGATGCAGGTGATGACGTTCGGCGCCACCTGCTCGCCAGCCTGTGCGCAATTTATAAAGAACCTGAGTGCCAAAGAAAATGCATCGTCAGAGAAAGTATATGCTGCCATAGTCAAGAAGTTCTATGTGGATGACTACTTAGATTCAACCGACACCGAGGAAGAAGCTGTGAACATGGTCCACGAAGTACACAAAACCTTGGAGAAGGGAGGTTTTCAAATTGTTAACTGGATATCAAATTCTACTCTTTTGAAATCTACGCTGTCTGAAGAAATGTTGCAGACCAAAAGCCTCGATGATGGAATGAATTATTCACAGCGAGTTCTAGGAATATGGTGGAATTCTCGAACTGATGAAATCGAAATTAAGCTCAACGAAAATGTCCAGTCTCAGAATTGTATCACGAAAAGGCTAGTCCTACGTTTCATCATGTCCATTTATGATCCTTTGGGTATCATAGCCTTCCTGACCATCAGAGGAAAGATTTTGTTGCAAGATATCTGGAGAGCTGGGATTGGCTGGGATTCAAATCTACCAGACAGTCTCATGATAAACTGGCAAATCTGGCTAGGCGAACTTCAAACATTGAAGATGTTGAGGATTCCGAGGTGTTATTTCACAAGAATTCCATCAGCAAGAAAACTAGAATTGCATACTTTCTGTGATGCCAGCGAGAAAGCGTTCGCAGCAGTGTCATATCTTCGGGTGGTCGGTGAGGAAATAGTCGACGTAGCTCTAATATCAGCCAAGACCAGAGTAGCCCCGCTCAAACCACTCTCGATTCCAAGACTGGAACTACAAGCTGCTGTAATGGCGAGTCGTCTTGCTGCTTCCATCTCAGAACACCTGGATATTCGGATAGATCAACATTTCTACTGGAGTGATTCAAAATGTGTTTTGCTATGGATTCGAAGTGATGGTCGAACATACAAGCAGTTTGTGGCCCATCGAATCGGCGAAATCCAAGAAACAACTGATGTTGGAGAATGGCGGTGGGTTCCATCCAATTTAAATGTAGCTGATATGGCAACAAAGTCTACTATGAACTCAGAAGGCGAAGAATCAAGAAATATATGGTTGTATGGTCCGAAGTTCTTGAGAATGTCCAGTGAAAGTTGGCCTGCAGAAACAAATTCGAAAACTGATGATAGTTATGATGAGGATCTTGAGAAGAAAGCTGAATTTGTCGCTGTCATAATGAATTATGACGATTTTCTGCCAGACGTAAATAGATTTTCCAAGTGGAAACGCCTCATAAGGACTACAGGATGGATTATCAGATACTTCAGAATCTTGATGAAAAAAATTGGTAAAAATGACGAAGACATCGATACATTCGGACTATCAGTAGCTGAATTATCGTTGGCTGAAAGATTTTGTCTGAAAAGGTCACAGTCCCGGAGTTTTCCAGAAGAGATAGAAAAACTGAAGAATTTGGTACCCTTGAACAAGCAGAGCCGTTTGAAAGCATTATGTCCAATGTTGAACACAGACGGTTTGTTGGTTCTTGGAGGAAGAACGAATCTAGCTGGTTGTATGGAGAGTTCTGCAAAAAATCCGTATATACTGAGTCCCAAGGATAGATATACCAAACTTTTACTCCTGGATTATCATGAGAAATTCCATCACCAAGGAGTCGAAGCCATTTTGACCGATATTCGTCAAAAATATTGGATCATCGATGGAAGAAATGCTATCAAGTTGAGCTTTTCCGACTGTATGAAGTGCAGGAGATCTAGAGCAAAGCCAGTAATTCAACAAATGGGTCAGCTACCAGCAGTTCGACTTACACCAGGCACTCGTGCGTTTATCAACATTGGAATGGACTATTTTGGCCCAATCAAAATAGTTGTAGGGAGAAGAAGCGAGAAGAGATGGGGCGTACTATTTACATGCCTAGCAGTAAGGGCCATACACTTGGAAGTCGCTCACAGTTTAACTACTGATTCGGCTATCATGGCGATTCGAAGAATGATAGCACGGAGAGGGACACCAAATACTATTAACTGTTTCACTGTGATAATAGTACCTACCTTCGCGGTGCAGCAGAGGAACTTCGTAAAGCCATAGCTGAAGTGGACAATTTGGCAATAAATGAAGAAATGTCGTCAAAATGCATTTCGTTCAAGTTGAATTCTCCAGCTGCTCCACATATGGGTGGATCTTGGGAGCGACTCATTGGACTAGTGAAGAAAACCATTGGAAGCATATTGTATCAACAGTCGTTGCGAGATGAGATTTTTTTAACACTCTTTGCAGAAGCCGAGAATATTGTCAATTCTCGTCCATTGACACATGTATCTGTTGATCCTTCCGATCCGGAACCGTTGACTCCAAATCACTTCCTTATTGGTAGTGGCAATTATATTAGCTCACCCTGTGATGAAGGTGGCAGTCTTCGAAAAGCATGGAGAAAATCACAAACGTTGATAAATGCCTTTTGGAAGAGGTGGGTAAAAGAGTATCTTCCCAAATTATCCAAAAGATCGAAATGGATTGACGATCAAGAATCCTTGAAAATAGGCGACGTTGTAATCATTGTAGAAGACAACGCCCCTAGAAATTCATGGAAAATGGGGAGAGTAGACGCCGTCTTTCCAGGACCAGATGGTCGGATACGAGTTGCTCAAGTGAAGACGAAAACATCTAGCTATCGCCGACCAGTGAGCAAATTGTGCCGATTACGAGTTGAAGGTGAAGAAAATTAGTTTTTTCACCAGGGGGGAGAATGTTACGGCTCCATGGAAAGAAGACACCTTGTATCGTGAAGATTCCAGTCAGCTCTGATATTTTGAGTTTTTGTTTTGTCTTGGTGATAAGAATTGATTGATTAGAAAAGAATTGAATTTGTATGTGATTGATATAAAGTTGATTTCTTGAAAAAGTGATTTAATCTGAAAATACAGTCCATCGATAACAAAGTGAATGATCATGACGAGGAATGTGAATATATTCTATCTTCATTATCTCATAAGCTCTATATTCGCTATATTCGCTTTTCATTCATGAATAACATGTTAACGTTCTCACATGAATTATCGTCATTACTACAGTATCAATCAATCTTCATGGCCATGAATAACACAATACATTATTATGCAGAAGGAGAAAAAAGCGAAGAAAAATCAGGAATACAAATTTGTCGTTGAATAATCAAGATACTTTTTTCTACGGCTATAACACAAAATTGTTCTTGTTTCACTGTGTTCGGTACATCGATGGGGTATGTCATCAATTTTATTTCCGTATCTGATATCACACTGACTCCATCTTGTTAATCTTTCGAAAAAGTCTCATCGCCATGGAATGTCAAATTCCAATCAATGATATCTGATAGATGAGCATTACTTATTGCCAGGAAATCAGATGGCTACAAGACGAAGAAATGAAAAATCTAGCTGTTATATGTTACAGCCGTAAAAAAATTATGGTGTATAGCTAACTAACTGAAATTCTTCAATAATAGTTGAAGGTAGAAAATAGTATATTCTTTAGAGAGCATTCCTGTTGTCTGAGAATAAAACGAAACAAATTGCCTTTGAAGAAAATCCTTTCGACTCGTTAGATTTTTCTAAATGCGATTGTTAGACACCCTATATATGTTCTGATCATGGTTTTCATTCCTGGATCTCCTCTCATCTGCTCAGATTTCATTGAATGATCACATCTAGAAGTCCATACTGTCCTTTGAGTGATTGATGTTTGTCTGATGATGATCATTACAAACAGGCAAGTTAGTTCCATAATTATATCAAAAAAATGTCTGGTGGAAAAATCAATATTTTCCTGTTTTCTCTTTTCCGTTTTCCTTAACTTCACTATACTCAACCAATTTCAGTGATCTACACGACACGAATTCCCTTAGGTAACATCACATTTTGAAACATTCATGAAGATGAATACAAATATTACCTGCTCTAGAAATGTGTGGGATGGATCCAGACTTTGATCGATATATTTCAGTAACCGAAATATTACTTGTAGGAGGGTGGCTATGAACAAGTTCTTGTGAATTTTCGTCCTGTTATTCTTGAGGACCCTGAAACATAAAATTATTGGATGCGAATCGGGAACTCAAGTTATGAAAGTGAAATCAAAATGATCGTGACATTGAAAATTTCAACCATTATTCGTCAGATGATGTAAGGAATTTCATGGAATGCACTATCAAGTAATGACTTATCATTATAAAACTGTCGAACTTCTGATGATGATTGAGATTCAGATGTTCCTCAGTCTTGACGATGGAGTTACATTATTGAAGCGAGTGTTTTGTCAATTAATTGAATGAGATTTATTCATATTCATATTATTTCTGGAACAGAAACGCCACCAGGGAAATATTATTGTTTGTTTTTCACTTGGGAGTGACCAACGAAAACAAATATACTAAAAATATTTATTATGTATATCCTGACTACTCCATTTGAGATATCCATTGAGATTACTGACTGGATAATCATTACATGACATTATGAAATGTTTGCATTTTCCCAGTCATATGAGAAACCTAATTTCATTATACAGGGTGATTCAGGTCTTGAGGCACACACTGAAATCGGAGATAGATCTCATCATTTTATACAATTAAGTTCATATAAACATTAGTCCGATCTCGTTCAGTAGCGGAGCTACAGGGGGTCAAAGTTTAATTATTTTTTTCTATTGATTGAAATATCTCGCTTACTTTTCAAGATATCATTTTGAAATTTGGTATGGTCAATACTTCCTGAAAAATCATCATTTCAAGCATTTTGAAGATTTCCAAAATCTACAGGGTGATACGTGTTTGGAGGTAGAGGCTTCTTTATCCTCTCCAAACTTTTTCCTAGTACGCCTCTGGCATCTTTCAGTGATCGAATTGTGTAGATCGTTCAATTTAGATGCTTTTTTAGTTCCATAATTTTTTTCGAGAAACGAACCGTTTTTGAGATAAATAAGCATATACGTTCTAAAACATGTTAATTTTGCCTATGTTTCGCTTAAATATTTTATTCTTTGACAAAATTCGTTGAAAATGCAATGAAATGTACTCCAAACAAGGAAGGAACTCATCATTAGCATCCATCAAGCTGGCACTAAAATGAGGAATGATCCCAACCAAATATCTAGAGCAACTTCTGCATTATTACGGCGATGTAGGAAGTGTATAGAGGTTGAAGGATCTCACTTTGAACACTTACTCTGAGCTTCGTTGATATTCATCTCCAGGTCTGTGTTAGACTTATCATTTATTGTTTATTTAGGTTGAGTTATTTGCGTTAGTACAATGTTTTATTATGTTAATGTTCAAGATGGAGATCATGAAGAGAATTTATAAATAAAAAAAACAGATATTTGTATTGAAAGCTCACCTAACTTCAGGATGATACGGTTTTGAAATTTTTCAAAATAGTGGAATTTTTTTTACGGCAACTTTAGAAAACTGAAAAAAAACTTGACTTTCTACCCTCCTTATCCCCGTTACTGATTCGGATTGGACTCGGGATTTCAATTTTAGTGAGTACATTTCATTGCATTTTCAACGAATTTTGTCAAAGAATAAAATATTTGAGCAAAACATAAGCAAAATTAACATGTTTTAGATCGTATATATATACAGTGTGACCCATTTAAGATGAAAGCACCCTTATAAAACTTACATTTTTCAATCGACTGGAATGATTTTTTTTTTGTTAGGTAGATATTCAAAAAGTCTTCAAAAAGTCTAATCTGATTTTTCAAGGTCAAAAATCTAAAAAAATTACTAGCGATTTTTTTAGAAAAAATCTGACTACTTCACTGGATTTGTGACATTTTCAAATGGGTAACATGTAAATTACGTTGAAATGCGTCAATCAATAAAAAAGCTATAAAGGAATGAAATTTGAAAAATATGCCGTTTAATCAACCCATCAATTTTTATTACTGAACAGATTCCGTTGAAACTGTGATCAGTAATATTTCAAGACATCCTGAATCCAGTGGAGTATACAGAATTTTCATAAAATTCCTGAACATGAATTGGTGGGTTGATTAAACGGCATATTTTTCTAATTTCATTCCTTTATAACTTTTTTATTGATGGACGCATTTCAACGTAATTTACATGTTACCCATTTGAAAATGTCACAAATCCAGTGGTGTAGTCAGATTTTTTCTGAAAAAATCGCTAGTAATTTTTTTAGATTTTTGACCTTGAAAAATCAGATTAGTTGGCCCTGGAAATGAAGATCTATTCATGATATTTGGTATCCTAATAGCCTTTTTGAATATCTACCTAAAAAAAAAAATCATTCCAATCGGTTGAAAAATGTAAGTTTTATAAGGGTGCTTCCATCTTGAATGGGTCACACTGTATATGCTTATTTATCTCAAAAACGGTTGGTTTCTCGAAAAAAATTAAAAAGCAAAAAAAGCCTCTCAATTGAACGATCTTCACAATTTGATCACTGAAAGATGCCAGAGGCGTACTACGAAAAAGTTTGGAGGAGATTGAGAAGCCTCTACCCCCAAAAACGTATCACCCTGTAAATTTTGAAAATCTTTGAAATGCTCGAAACGATGATCTCCTAGGAAGTATTGACCACACTGAATTTCAAAATGATATCTTGAAAAGAAAGCGAGATATCTCAATTAATAGAAAAAAAATTATTAAACTTTGACCTTCTGTAGCTCCGCTACTGAACGAGATCGGACTGATGTTTACATAAACTTTTTTGATTAAAATGATGAGATCTATCTTCCATTTCAGTTCGTGCCTTAAAACCTGTATCAGCCTGTATAGTAGATGTGCATAAGATTCAGGAACAAAGAATCTCTGATAATGAAAATTTGTGGAGATGACTTAGATTATCTTGTTCCTGAAAGTTAATTTCGGTTTAAAAATTGAACAGAAGAAGAATCTAGGCATACCGGGTGGCTACGGAAGTATTGCCTACGGAATATCTCAGTTATTGTATGAAGTAGGTTTGTGAAATTTGGAGCGTCGATATAATGACATAAGAGCTAGAATTTGAGCATATTGACATGTCGAAGTTAACTTCCGGTCTGACCGGAAGAAACATCAACTTTCTTATTTTAAATGGAAACTTTTTTTTTTGTCTCGCTTTATTCAGCATTCAATTCCTTTTCTAATGACATATCACAAGTTGGTATCTAACCAGAAACTAGATCAGAAAAAAATTATTATTGAAATTCACCGAGTAGGCCGTGGAAGCAAAATAAAAGCCAAAAAATGACTTTCTATTATATCATTAGAAAGGAATGGTTATGCTGAATAGTACAGGCAAGAAAAAGTTGTATGTTCCTATTTAAGTTATGGACCTTGTTTTTTTCCCAATTTTTCCAATATTTTTTTGGCGGCTTTTTATTACGCCGACGAATGAAAATGAAATATCACAGTAGTAGCAACTGTTATCAAGTGACGTATGGTTTCCATAGCCAACTTTTCAATTTTTGTCTTATAATTTGCTTCCACGGCCTATACTCGGTGAATTTCAATAATATTTTTTTTCTGATCTAGTTTCTGGTTAGATACCAACTTGTGATATGTCGTTAGAAAGGGAATTGAATGCTGAATAAAGCGAGAAGAAAAAAAATAGGATTTCCATTTAAAATAAGGAAGTCGATATTACTTCCGGTCAGACCGGAAGTTAACTTCGACAGGTCAATATGCTCAAATTCTAGCTCTCATGTCATTATATCGACGCTTCAAATTTCACGAACCTACTTCATACAATAACTGAGATATTCCGTAGGCAATTCTTCCCTAGCCACCCGGTATATTCAGATTTGACGGCTTGTATTTCGAGAATGAAGTGATTGCAGACATATGTTTTCAGAAATTCATAGATATAGACCTGAAATCGACTGACATTTAGAAGCATCCTGATATTACCAGATATCAAAAAATGAAAATGTATCACAATAATATAGAGAATCAATACAGCTTGGAATATCGTTCAACACCCGAGAAAGATATATTTAATGAAACCATAATCCAGGCTAATTCATGAAAACATTAGTCAACTGGGTGGATTGTTTTTTTATTCAAAATCCAATAAGATATTTTCGAACTCTTGAGACTCTCTTCTGCCAGGAGTTTATCTTCAACTTGGTCATTACAAACTGAATACACTCTTCATCTTGACAGAATCATGAATATCACTGGTTTGGTCAATCACAAAATCTCAAATGGAAATTATGTGTGCCATGTAGGATGTGTTGAACAAATCCACATGTTGAAGACATGAGTTTCGATCTCAGACCATTCAGGCTCTTGCTTCGCTCCAATGGACTTTCATTGGGAAATATTGGAATTTTATACAAAGTGATACAGTCAGGATGGAGACATCCCTGTATTTGTATTATTTCTGGGATCAGAGATTCAATTTCTGGTATAGACGTAAACCTTTATGAGTCATACTTTTCGTAATAGAATAGAATAGAATAGAATAGGTACTTTATTTTACCACATTACGTACACTGTACATTTGTAGCAGGTCAAGGAGTTAGAACTATAAAAAAATAGAACTGTAAATAAAATGAAGTTAAAAGACAAACAATAAAAAGTTAAAAGACAAACAATATGAAAATATTGATACAGATTAAAAATAGAGAACAATATGAAAAAAATATAAAATACAGGTACATATTGATAGCGACTTCATCCATATTAATACTCAAGCCAGTAGTTTCTCATGATCAGTCTGAAAATATTCTTCCAGTGAGAAGAAGCAATGTTCCAGGAGATATTGCTTTATTTTATTCTTAAATTTGATGAGACAGAGATTCTTAATTCTATGAGGCAATATATTGTGAATGTTGTAATCCAAGGAGTTTTTCTGAGATACAGTAAGTCTAAACCGAGGATTACGTATCTTCATCGCATGTCTGGTGTCATGGTCATGAATATCACTATGAGTTCTGAGTATGTTAGATTGTTTGTGAACCTCTTGAAGTGTGTTATAGATAAACAAAGTTGGTAATGGCATGATGCCATATGCGATGAATAAGGTTTTACAGTTTAATACTCGTCAGTGACAGCCTCCAACCTAACCTACTGTGATCCCGCGACAAAGTCAGATTCTCGATATTATGTTTCGTGTTGGAGATACAGAAAAAAATTATTTGAAAATTCTGCTCTGAAAGCCATTTCAAAGCGAAATTTCAATTCCTTGTTAGTCCGATTATTTTATCTTTTGGAGCGCACGAAAGGAAATTCCTATAATGTTCGAAGAACATCGTGCGTACCTAGGGAGGATGAGGAGAGGAGGTAGATGTTGGTTCTGAATAAAAAGCTACAGGAATGATGAAATTATCTTAATGAATGTGATAAGCTATTGAAATAACTGAATTTGTAACTAATGTGAGTTAATCGAGTCGAATCCTTCATTTGCGAAACTCTTAGGATTTCAAATTCAAATTCTGCTCTGATAGTCGGTATGGATCGAGTCAAAATCGATTCTTAGAAAACTTCTTCAGGTACTACTGACGCAAAGCAGAATATAAAGAATTTGTATAATTCACGGGATCGCAGGATACACCGAAAGAAAAATCTCTCAAAAAAAGTTTATCCTAAAATCGGGTTCGTCCGGTAACAGATACAAACCTGAGCAATCAAAAACCTCGAAACCCCAGCAAATCGAAGAGTATTCATCTATACTACGTCAGATGAAATCTTCTTCACTGAGGTCAGTAAACAAGTCATTCCAATAAAAATATATCCATCCCATGTATTATGTATTATGTTTCCAATTCCCATTCCCTTCGAATCATTTTGTAGGTAAGCAGATAGAATATAATCTCCTTTTCAGAATTATGAGATCTTGTCGAATAGAGGAATTATGAGTTCGTAGAAGAAGTATATATAGTAACACGCTTTTAAACTCTTCTAGAAACTCGCTCGCATTAAACACTTGTTACATAATATGGTATTATTTGATATAACCAAACGCAGTTCTTCCAGTGTAGGCTGGGATTAAGGCTGTCACTCAGACTGAGTATAGATATTGAAAAACATGTAAGAACTGAAGAGTGGAAACTTGAAGAGGAAAATAGTGAAAACTGAAAACCTGCAACCATCTGAAAACTCTGAAGTTTGCGAATTAGGTTAGTCTCCGATAATATTTCATAAGAACAAAAAAAAATGTGAACTCGTATGTTCAGTATTCAATTGATCAATTAGTGAATAAGATCCCAACATATGACCAACTGAACGTGAAAATCTTTTGGGTTCCAGAACAAAGGAGTATTTATCAGCTGAGTCACAGAAAAGAGCCACTCTAACAGAAATGTAAACATTTGATGAGTTTTCGAAAAAAAAAACATATACCTCCTCAGGGTACACTTCTGGGTATGCCACTGTAGACATGATGACCGACATATCGTTCACCTTTCTTCATGATTTACCACATTTGAGAATTTTATTACTGGATTTTATCGCTCTATTTCATGTGGAAAGGTCAACATGTTATACATGACTTTAAAGGAAATTTTTAGCTCTATTCAATGATATAATTAACAAATAAAACTCCTTTATCAAATTTGAATACTTGCTCACAAAAACTTTCAATATTTTTCCCATGATATTATCCAAGAGGATTAATGGAGAGAAAATCAGTGCTTTCAAGTTTTTTTTTCCAATATTACAGAAATAACGCAACTTTTTTGTTCAATATAATCAAATTCATATCCTATCAGCGTTTAGCAAATAGCAATAATGCCCCGAATAAATCGTTCGAACCCTGTATATTGACGGGGCAGAGATGAGTTATACCTCTCTCTTACTAGGGATACTAAAACCTTCCATAGTGTTCTATACTGATAGATCATTATACTCTCCATGCTTTGTAGTGCTAAGGAGCTTTCTTCAATTTCTCTTGTGTGAATACTATGTTTTCAATGATACCCATATCAGAGAATTAGAATGAAACTTTGCCCGATTGTATATTATGATTTGAACTCAGGATTTGAAGAGGAACTTCCGATACCAATGCAAAATGTATACAACCCGACCGGAGGCAGGGTTACAATTTGCCGAGGGATCAGAAAGGACTTCAGTTCGATAGTAAATATTCGTGAAATATAATGAAAGACTTCACTTCTGCACTCGTAGCGGCACTCTCGATTGAAAATATGAAATTTGCTGACTGATGGGTGATTATCATCTTGTTGTTGACATGTGCATTGAAACCACTGCTATAGCGTTTGAGAAAATATCCCAGTATTCACTTTCAATCCCTGAGGGTTTCAAACTGCCACTTCATTGCCTCAAGTAAGCGAATACACTCACCATGTACCCTCTTATTCCCTTAAGTGCATACAAGATGATATTATATAAGTCGGAAACATATACCAGAAGAGATAAAATCGTGTAGAAAATCCTGGATTTGCTCTCTGAATCTGAATGTTAGCTCAACTTTGCAGGCTGTAAAACGTCTTTACAAAAACATACCACATATTCCCCACACCGAAATAAGTCGATTTAAGTGAAATTACCTCAGTACAAAGTTGCATCGTTTGGGCTCCAGATGACCTTGAAGTTACAATTTTTAAATCGTTTTTCCCATTTAAATTTAAAACGGCATATGCGATTTTACTGAAATTTGGTATATTGATAGAGTTTTATGTGGCATAAAAAATGGTGTTGAAATTTTGTCCAATAATAATACATAGGCGTAGAACTTGATTTTTTAAATAATTGCACCTCCAAAAATTTCACGCCAATGGAAGAAAAGGAGTTCGAGTATGAAATTTTGATTGCGCAACTCATTCACTTTGAAAAAGGTACTCCTGATAGGACTCGATTGCTCTCATGGTTTTGACGGAATTTGCATTTTAGTTATTTTAGAAAATAAACAATAATTATTATTGAAATACAAACTTTGTCGAAACCATGAGAGTAAATCGAGTGTTATCAAGTGTACTTTTTTGTAGTAAATGAGTACCCAATCCAAATTCCATACTCAAACTCCTTTTCTGCCATTGGCGTAGAATTTTTAAAGGTGCAATTATTCAAAAAATTAAGTTCTACGCCCATGTATTATTATTAATTTTCTTCGACGTATGAATCTTTGTATGCGTGGAAATGGTGAAGATTTTGAAACAATCTTGTGAAATCTCTATTTATTCTGATTATGTTGTAAACAAATATTTTCGTGAAACCTATACACTCCAAATTATTAAAACAGAAATTTAGCGAAAACCATGAGAGTAATCGAGTCTCATCACGAGTACCTCTCTCAAAGTAAATGGATTGCGCAATCTAACTTTCATACTCAAACTCCTTTTATTCCATTGGCGTAGAATTGTTAAAGGTGCAAATATTGAAAAAAATCAAGTTCTACGCCTATGGATTAATATCGGACAAAAATTTAACACAATTTTTTTGCCACATAAAACTCTATCAATATACCAAATTTCAGCAAAATCGCATATGCCGTTTTAAATTTATATGGGAAAAACGATTTAAAAATTGTAACTTCAAGGCCCTCTGGAGCCCAAACGATGCAACTTTGTTCAAAGGTAATTTCACCTAAATCGACTCATTTTGGTCTAAGGAATATGTGGTATGTTTTTGTAAATACCTTTTACAGACACCCTGTATATTTGATTATCATCAACGAGAGGTAAATGCAGGGATCCATATATGAACCAACTGAAAACAACTTACCTGTAGGAAAAGAATATGTACAAGGATATCACTAATGATACCAGTGAAAAAGACAATCCCACCATTTCTATACACCGTGTTATCCTGGCAATCTGGAAAAAAATGGATTGTTATTGTTATCTACGTCTCAATCAACTGCTCAACATTCTCCATGTTGGTGATTATCAGAAGAGGTGATGTGGGCGATGTATTGTGAGAGCTGATGCATCTGGAGTGCATATAATCTGGTGATGCCTCAAAAAATGAATATCGATGAATCGAATCATCGTGAGTCGTGAGCATGCAATATCTACGTCTAGATTGAGATATTAAGTTATCAGTAGTTTCACTTGTTCTACTATAAAGCACGGCTGCTCCCAAATATTTCATCGAATCTTGGGATATAATATTGAAATTGGATGAATTATTGCTATTGGTATTAATATACAGGTTTCTCAAGAAAGATATCGGAAGAATCCATCAATCATTAATTCCTAGAATATGAAAAATAATAATAATAATAATAATAATAATAAATCGTCTCTATTTTTTCTTTGGTACAAAGTAGACAAAGTTTAGCTATTGCTACTCTTACACTTAACCTGAATTGTACAATCGACAGAAAATTCAGCTAATAGAGACATTCATGAGGTAATAAAGAACATAATCATCGTAAGTCAAATAAACAAAAGTAATTTGTCAAATTATTACTAGGTAATAGAGTTCCAAGTCTTGATTTATATTGGGGATTCACAAAATTTTGCTTTCAGCAATTTCTTGATATTAAATTCAGATAAATGAAGGTGATTAATGAGGAGTGAATTGTAAAATTTCACAGCCTGATAGGTGAAGGATTTCTGAAACATGACTGAACAGTGACGAGGAACATTAAAGTGATGTTTATTTCTCACTTCTAATGAATGAAAAGATGACCTTGGAGTCAATTTACAATAGAGATAAAGGAATCCTGTTCTTTATTATTTTATGTAGAAAGATACAAAAATTGTATTCAGAACGATTAGCCATTGTGAGCCACTTCAGTTCTCTTATATCAATATATTCGTGTGCAGAATTGAAATCAGGTATTTAACAATAACTCGAGTTTTCGATAACATTTCGAGTTCATATTTGATAGAGTGCTTCAACGTAATGCTTCACATGTTGTGAGCAGATTAAAACGGAAAGCAATTAGCAAATTGATAGCTTGAACTCTTTTCGCGGGCACCGTGTACATTAAAATTAGAGGAGAGTCGTATTGGCTTATTGTGACAGAGGGAAATTATATATTTTGCTTGTAGTACCACTCAATGACAGAGTTGTTGATGGAATCATGTATGCATGGCAATGAAATGTGCCCATGCTGATGATTCATCGATATCAATTTTGAAATATTTTGTTATGACTGAAAAATCTACCCAATGGTCTGATGAATTGAAATAGATACAAGAGAAGTTGTTCACAGCCCTATGAATTTTCATCTCAAGATGATGTCAACTATATTGAGGATTATTCATACATGTATGTCAGTGATATACCAAACATACGTTATTTCAAAATGGAATACCCTGAATTCCATTTTATTTTTTGATATACCTCAAAAGAATAATGTCAATGATGTATAATAACATGGGTCTGATAACACCCGTTTCAGACTCATATCCAAAACATTGAGAACCAAGTTTTTGTTATGAATCAACGAATTTTCCATGTTATCTTGGTCAAAATTCAGGAATAATAAATTTGCCAGAAGTGATGACCTATTTTGAAAACCAATGAATCTCTCAGAATTCACAAGAGAACATTTAGTATTTCATGTCATCCTCGAAAAGGGTTGATGAGCCGAATCCAATGATATATGATGACATGAGTCTGAGAACACCCGTTTAGGACTTATATCCATAACCTTCTTCAATAAGTAGTCAAATTCTGAAACCTTTTTACAACGTTGTAGATTGGGTTTTTCATGTATGATTTCCGTTGTGAATCAACAAATGCTGTTTTCAGATGTATTCCAAATTGATATTCATCATTCAGGAAATGGCAAAGAATTTTGAATTGAGAAAACCCTATCACGAATCTGCGATTAGATGTCTATAAAAATAACAAGTTTCCATCGTTCAAGTCCGACCCTCATTATTGGACAATGGACATGAAGGTATTGAGAAGGAATTTTCTCAGATATATTTTGAATATAAAAAAATTGGTGTGTATACATTTATATTATATAGTAGAAGGAAGGAAAGTCGTTGCTGACACGTTAGAGATAAAACTAGCAGCTTGCTAGTGGGGATTTCAGGAAAGTAAAGGTGAACTCGATCATCACAATGACTACAAATAGAATTGATATGTATACATTGACAATAATATTGAGGAATGCTCAAATGGTACTCTACACTATTTGAGAATGATTACGATGATGTGATTCCAATTCTCTCAACACTCAACTAATGTTAGTACTCCATGTAAAAACAATTTCGGACCAAAAAAAACTTGTGGGGTGGGAGTAAGTGAATTTTGCCAACTCACTGTTCCAATTTTCGTTTTGGATGGATAATGAATAATACGAATTGATCACCTTTGGTAGATTATTGAAAGATGTTTTCACAAAACTCATTTGATTCGATACTGATGAAATATAGAACATACATAAAATAAAAAAGATTCAACTGGGATGATAGACATTTCATTTTCTATGGGCTATACGAGTAGGAAATTCAGAGTACGCAGTAAGAAGGCCTATGGTTTGTACGCAGTATTCCATTCTCATAATAAAAATCTGTAACTGGGAATTTTATTCTCCTAATTGGAACTTTATATTGTCAACTCGAAATTGGAGAAATGATTCTTCTCGACTTCAAGCTCTGTATTCTCTATATTCTTCAGTCAAAAAGTTCTGGTTTGCAGTTGGAAGTTCCTGTAGTATGAACGGGAAATTTTATAATTTCCCAACATGTTCAATCTTGGAAAATTCAACTACAAATTAGAATAAATTCTCATATTTATATTTTATTTTCAGATCGAAGAGCTGTACCGCAAATCTCATTTTCCTAATTGAAATCCGATATTTTCAACTCGAAATTCGGAATTCCATTTCTTCGACTTAAAGGTCCAAATTCACTTATATATATATATCAGGTGTAAATTTCAAGTTTGGAGGTGAAAATCCTAGTTTGAACTGAAAATGTAATTTTCATTTATGTTTGAACTTGGAAATTCCTACTATGAAATAGAAATTTTATGTTTCTTAAGTTGGGAACTCCTTGCTTGAAGTAGGAAATCCGTAGTTTTATTCATATATTTCATTTTGTATCCATATTCATCAGGGAACCTTATTTTTTCATGGAACTTCCCCAACCTCAATTGTAGCTCGACTACGCGGTACTCGACGCGGTAGCTTCGCTTTGCAAACGCAAATTTCGCTTGTCAAACATAGTGTCACATTTTATCTTAATAATACAATGAACTATAAATTGTGCGGCTATTCATCGGAGAATATCGTGTATATGTCTGAAAGCAGTAATCTCATACCCATGTTATCATACTCGTCGTTTTTGAGGACTATAATAATAATATGTGTTTATTTGCAATACAAATTACATTTATACATTTAAATCTTATTCCTTACATGAGTGAACAAATAAACAGAGAAAATCCGCAAAGAGCAGAGCTCGCGCGCGGTTCACTTTAGCTTATTATGCTCATTATATAGGTATTCTGTATATAGCTGTAATTAATATAATCAAATGTATATGTAAATGAAGAAATAATGAAAACACAAAATTGGAATGAAACTAAAATGAACTTATCAGCATAGATATATATCATGTGTATCAGTTACCTATATGAAAATTAAATAATATATACTATTAAATAATGAATAATAAATAATAAAGGAGCAATCATAATGATAATTACAATAGCAAAAAATAAATTGATAATAATTATAATAAGACCGACAACGATAACAGCAACAAATATAACAACGATACCAATAATTAATAATAATATCAATAATAATAATAACAACAATAGTAATAATAATAATGCACAGCAGGTTCATCATTTCCCTAGTGAACATAGCTAAACATTTTTCATTTCTATCAAATTCCTAATGAAGTTTCTCTGACTATTCGAAATGAAATTCTTCAGAGCCCATTTGAATTTTTTTTATATTTGTGACATTTTTTATTTCCGCTGGGATTTTATTGAATATTCTGCTAGCTAAATATTTAAAATTTCGTTGGCCTATGGATTTCGTTGAAAATGGTGTTCTTGAATTGTCATTTGTTTTATTCCTTGTTTCATAATTGCGATCTAAATAGTCTAGCGATAGTTTGTTTTTGAATTGGTATATCATTAAGTGATGAAAGAATGATTGCCGCAAGTCATATATTTACTATGGAAAAATATAATTGAATATACGGAATTCCATTTGAACAGAAGTATGTTTGTTAAATCACTGACATAATAATATGATCCTGTATAGTGGACATTATCTATGAAATAAAAAGTTGATATAACTATAAACAACTTCGATTCTCGATTTTTTTCGATCTTTTCAGTTCACTAGAAGAGGGGGTGACCCATGTTATGTGCGATACCCTATACCTAAAGTGATTCAGCGTTTACTCAGAGTTGAATGACTGTGAAATACGTTACTTGTTGAGGTATCGACGTTGTTAATTTGAATGAAGAAACTCCACAAACGATATGAGTTCCACAAAATTCTCAAGAACATGACATGTTTCGCTAACACAGTAGTTTCGTCAGGTACTGGTACGTTATTAATTTGGTTATGATAAAATCGTTAATGAATACGAGGATAAGATGATAAATGTGTCTAATATATGTAAAATTCACCTTCGATATACCTTCCGAATGGGGAAAAATAGTTATTCATTACACATGAGTGAGAAATTAGCATTCCGTGCGAGTTATACACTATAATTATACTACGACATTTTCTATTTAATCGTCTTATTTCCTCTCAAGTAATGCTGATCTATTAGACAGAGCTGTGCTTTTAATTGAAAATCCCATGAGCGATGTGACTTTTTACAATAATGCCACAATGGAATCATTGTGATCTCAGATTCGGAAATAAAATTGATGA